GTGACTTCCAGAACAGCGACTTTGAAACTCTTCTCATCTCCTCCGGTGTTCGGATTGAGACGGGCTTCGGCAGTGACTGTCTACCCTTTCCCATCCAGGCGGTGCATGAACGTTGGAGTGAGCTTATAAACCGAGCCATGAATGTGCGCGGCTCGGCTGAGTCTATGGTGGACAGTATTCAGGAGATGACAGCAGCCTTCGCCAGCACTGTTGATTGGCTGAAGGAGACTAAGAAGAGACTGACGGCGATTATCGAGATTCCACCACAAATGCCTTTCGCCCTCACTGGTGGCACGGAGGCAGAGGCGGAAGCTACTGCAGACTACATCAATACACTTCAGCCGCCCTTCCTGGTGCACATCTGGAGTGGTCTGCTTGAGACCCGATCGTTTAGGTCTTCTAGGATCTCGGTAAGTCCTCTGTTACCCTCCTTCCCCCATGTTTGAACCTTGTCATGTTTTAACTGTGTCCTCATTTCGTAAACCTGTTAGGCGCCATGCTACCTACTGGCATGGAAGTGAGATTAGCTGTCTGGAAAGCCCAACTAGCAATCGCAGTTTTATTAAATCTGCGTCGGTCACTTGTTCGAATTCCTGTCGAAGTGAATTGACCAATCACAGCACACGCATTTCCTGCAAAGGAATATGGTAGGACTCTAATCCTTATCTAGGACCAATCATATGTCAACCTTGAAAGGATTTAGTAGTCAGATTACGACTCGCATTTCATGGATATCAGGGAAGTAAAGCATTGCGTGAGAAGATTGAATGGTGCCGGCTTATCACAGGCACCTGAGTATCGTTGTTCAGAACTGCCGGTTGTGTCGACGGCTTTTGATCCTTCGCATTGTTTTCATTTCAATTACTTCGACAGCATCCGATTATAACGTTCTCTCAGTAATTTGTTTTTTACGTTTGTCGTTTGTTCATGGATAAATCCACTGCAGCCCTCGGAAACAATAGGATATTTGGCAAGGACTCCCGTAAAATGTGAATGGTGGTAGTAGGAGCCCTATGCGTGGGAAAAACAAAGGTGAAAGAGAGCTATTTTCGGGAAGCAAGGAATAAAAAATACATTTACGCCAGTAGCTTGTTTAAATGCAGCAATGGCGTTTAAAACCCAAGTGCGAAAGTTGAAATAATGGAAACTAGGAGCTGTAAACAGGAAGGAAAGATGTAAAACCAGTCCGTGATGACTAAACAATATAATGTTTAATTCGACT